GGGGGGGGGAAGGGGGGAGGAAGAGGGGGAGAAACAGCGGAGAAACAGCTACTGGCAATATGCTCGGTACTCGTGCTACCGGCTGACCCCTGGCCAGTGTCACCAAACATATTACCGGCATTTCTCAAGGCTACAATAAAGCCACCCTGGGCTGAGTAGGCCACCCTGTCAGATCGAACTTACAGGGGCTGGTTAGCTCGATGATAACCAGCCTGATAATAATATCTTACCTAGAAGAAGAAAATAACAAGCAAGTACCTTGCTCTTGTGAGGAACAAGCCCTCAAGGGGCCCTATCAGACATCACATGTTCTGGGCTAAGGCCCCAAGCAAGCCGAATGCCCCCGCCCTAAGTGAAGGCGAGCCTGAATATTTGTCAGAGGCCAAAATTCGGCATTTCCATATGTGGGTATTCAGGCTCTCGCAGCACACCAGTTGGTTGGGTAGACGCGTGAGCCTCACTAAGCTGCGTCATACAGTTGGCCCAGGCCTTGACAATTGCCCCTGGGCACATACACACAAAGCAGGGCCGATACATTGGGAAGCAGGCCGTCGGCCTTTGGAAAAGCAGTACTGCCGACGCACCTGCCTGGGAGCCCTGCACAGATGCAGCAAACAGCCCAAATCAGGAGACTCAGGCCGTGCCCAACTGAAAAGGACCCAGGCCCTCAACTGTAGTCTCGGGCCTGGGCGCAGGGTCTGAGGCCCAACCGGAAGCTACTGCAAGCTTCCAGCCAGGCCACACGCAGCATCCAGGAGGCTGCCACTTCCACAAAAGGAGGAAGGCAGCCCAGGCCAGGCATTCTGGCCAGTGCTGGCAATGCGGAAGTGCTTCTGCGCTCTCGCTTGATGCTGCGCTGCTGCCGAAGGCGCTGACGGGGCACGACGTGGTGAAGGAGCTGTGCTGCAGGGCAGCGGGGCGCGGGTGGCCATAGCCGGGCTGCTGGGCGCCAGGGGGTAGGAGGGCGATCAGGTGGTCTTCAGGAAAGGAGGCGAGTGTGGGTAATCAAGGTCTGATTGAGGGTGATGCGATACATACCTGGTGCATGAAGAGAGGTCGGCTATGGTGTTGACAGTCATGTACATTCGTCTTCGAGAGTGTAAGTCAGCCTGTTGCCTGAACCAGCTGTAGGTAGGATAGTCGGGCAGAGTAGGCTTGGCGCTGAGCGCCAGACAGGAGAGGAGCGACTTTGGATACTGTGTTGGCGTGGCCAACGGGCTTGAACATTGGCTCATTACTTCATTGTATTGCTCTATATGGATGGTTTCTCGGTGCATTTTGTACTCTCTGCTTGGACACGACTACCTGGACATCAGTGTGATTTCGCAACTTGGTTTTCACACTCATATTCCTTGCACTCTGATCGGCTGAATGGAAAATAAATGTTGATGAGAGTCACGAGACAAGAAATCAGACACCACAGAAAACTTTAAAAAAAAAAGAAAAAAAAAGAGGAGGATACTCAGAAAGGGATCGAAAACACAATCACTTGCAAAAGGGAGCCAGTTTGCAATTCAAACAAAAAAACGAGCAATAAAACAAGCAGAAAATCACTGAAATCATTGAATTATCATTCAAATAATGACCAAGATCCCACTAGTAGCCTACTGCAGCTGGTATATTCACCCCCTCCCAAAAAAAAACAGAAAAAATAGGCAATAAGTCTCAGACAAGAAAGTGTCTCTCTCTCTCTCTCTCTCTCTCTCTCTCTCTCTCTCTCTCTCTCTCTCTCTCTCTCTCTCTCTCTGTGGTGCCGGATGGCTTGTTCATATTGAGTTTCAGAGGGATGCACCTGTTCCATGCTGTCTTCAATGAGCCTTTTCTCTTGAAGAAGAGTCGTAAAAATGCTTTGTGCAATCTCTGTTTGCTTCGCTGTTGAAGTGCGACCAAATAAGTCACAGCTGATGTTGAACCACTCGTAGATCTCCGCATGAATCTTGTAATACCTGATTCGAACACGCCAACAAACTTAGTCAGACTAAACTCTCTCTCTCTCTCTCTCTCTCTCTCTCTCTCTCTCTCTCTCTCTCTCTCTCTCTCTCTCTCTC